GAGAATATAAAAAATAACAGAGAATATAAAAAATAACAGAGAATATAGAAATACCAATAATTAAATTCTAAACAGGTGCAGACAGAAACATTAAAGTGTTTATTATGGTGCAGGATTCATTTTATTGTGTATAAAAAGAGAGAAGTGTAAAAGTTTGAAGGACTTCCTGTGGTGTTCTGTGGAGCACCTCGATGGTCTCAGTCTAGGACTGAAGGTGCTGTGGTCAGGGTCCAGGTGTCATGCAGGGGGGGTGACTTGTTGTTCAGGATCTGGAGCAGGTTCCTCAGCATCCTCTGCTCAGACACCTGTCAGAGACTGCAGGTCCACTCCCAGAACTGAACCAGCTCTCTCATGAGCTTATAGAGTCTGATGACACAGTGGTGTAGTCTACATTTTTGTACTGGGTAGACTGTGCTTAGAAACCAATGTACACAGATTAGTACAATGTAATTGTCAACTTATTTGGATTTTTAAGCATATTGAACATTTCCAAAGTTCTCTGATGCTTTTATTTGAATAAATGTACAACAAACTTTGTACAACAGTTGGCTTTATACAAAGTATTAAAAACATGTTATATAATTTATAAAACAGTATCAAAGCAAAACATGTTCAAGTATTAATTAGTAAGTACAGATTAATACAATAATTTGCTGGATAAGCAAATGTAATAAACAATAACTGTATACAGATTGTTACAGACGCGTTTAACTGTCGTTTAACGTAACAATGGCACATGTCTAATGACATGTCATGTATCATTGGGCACCTTTAAGTGAGTATACATATATATATATATATATATATATATATATATATACAAGTTCTTGAGCTTTTCTAGTGGGTATACTCAGTATACCCACGTATCACATAGACTACACCACTGTGCAGTTGGCATCAGCTTTCTTCACCCAGCTGCCCCAGCACACACAGCGTGGAAGAAGATGCTGGAGACCACCGAGTGGTGAAACATCTGCAGCACGGTCCTGCACACGTTAAGACCTGAGTCTCCTCAGAACATTAAAACCTGTGTATCAACGGCCACATTTCATGCCAGAGATTTGAATTACATTCATCTTTTGCTGAGAAATAATGGATTTAGCCGTTCTGCTCAAATCTTGGTTTTTGAATGAAGGCAAGCCCAGAATGTAAAGTTGACAGCGTCAGAGCCAGGTGGTAGATTATCTTTAACGCAACTCAACTTTGTTTTTTGGTAAATTAAAAACATTACAAAAAAAAGGGAAAACAATATAAAATGGTAAATCAAATATTTACCAAAAAAAGGAATAGACTGAAGCCAAGGCTTATACTTGCCTACCCTGTTCATAGACTCAGCAGTCTACATAATGACAGATATCTACTGTCCACATATACACATACAGACATTTACCGTATAGTTAAATATTTAAATATGCATGTATATTATACATACACATACTCACATTACATACATGGTTACACAATACATATATACATCTACATAACATCTACATAAGCTTTTATAATTTTACATTTTAAGGCTCGTAAATTATATTTACTCTCTCTTAACTTAAATACTTTCTGAATTCCAGAAGGAAGACAATTATTCAGTGCTTTATACATTATTTCCAGTATTTTTATATAAACAATGTCATTAAATTTTAAAGTATTACTTTGAATAAAGAGTTTATTAGTTGGTTCACAATATCCCACTTTATTAATAAGTCTAATTGCTTTTTTTGTATTTTTATTAATATGTCAATAGTAGTTTTATTTGCATTTCCCCATATTTCTGAGCAATATGACAAGTAGGGCATAATCAAGGAAGAGTTATAATATGCAAGTCTGTTACATTTATTAATTTTTTTATTTTAAACAATATTCCAATAGTTTTTGCAATTTTATTTTTAATATACTTAATATGAGGCTCCCAACTAAGTTTGTTGTCCAGAATGATACCTAAAAATTTGTCTCATAAACTCTGTCGATTTCAACTCCATTTACATGTAACGTTACTTTATCATAAATCCGATTACCTGAAAATACCACAAATTTAGTTTTTTTTCATTTAAAGTTAGCTTATTATAATCAAACCTCTTTTTTAACTCAACTAGCTCTTTTTCTACTATTTGTATTAGTTCATCCATATTCTTTCCAGAAAAGAAAAAGTTTGTATCATCAGCAAACATTATAATTTTCAAAATACTGGATACTGTAAAAAAATATAATTTAAATAAAGTATAAATAATTTAGGTCCTAGAACTGAGTCTTGAGGAAGACCACATTTTATTGTTTCAATTTGTGACTTTGTGTTGTTAATTTGTACATATTGTAACCTATTACTCAAATAACTCTTTAACCACTGATGTGTAACCACCCGTAAGCCATATTGTTCACATCTTCCCAGTAGTGGTTCATGGTCAATAGTGTCAGATGTCTTACATAAATCAATGATCACACCCACTGTGTTACGTTTCTGATCAACTGCTGCAGCAACGTGTTCCACAGACTCCATCACAGCTAAAGTTGTGGAGGAGTTGTTTCTAAAACCGTACTGGTGCTCATTCAATATACTGTTTTGATTAATAAAGAAGTCCAGCCTTTTTATGAATATTTTTTCCAGAACTTTAGAAAATTGTGGTAGCAATGATATTCTAGAAATATACGAGTATACGAGTGTATTATATACGAGTTCTAGAATCGCGCCGCTCAAGGTGTTTGCATGTTGGAGCAGCTCTGTTACTTTCATTCTGAGATTTTGCTTTTGGAAACTTTAATTCCTGGTTTTCTGGATGTAATCATATTTTTTGGATGATTGTTTCCTCTGGTATCAGATGCTGTGCAGCTGGAAGGATTTCTACTGAAACTTTTTTAGTTTTGGACATTTGT